TGAGCAAGTCGCACTTTTGTGCAAATGAGTTCTGGGCTGGGGTGTGAATTTCACAGCTGCACTCAAATCCTGCTGGGCTGTGAACAGCAGTGCTGGGGCTTGTAAGGGCCTTCTGACAGCCACGTAGTGCTGCCCAGAGCCACATCCCTCCAGCGTCACATCTCCACCTTGCAGCCACATGCTGTGTGCTGCTGGGTCATCCCCATCCCTATAATCTCAGGTTAGAGATTTCTTGCAGTGCTTTACAGAGTTGACCTGGTGGCTCTTGCTGGTTTCCCCATTAGAGTAGGACATTTCTGGGAGCAGACATAGGAGTGATTACTGCCGAGCACATACATTGAAATGCAAGCTGTCTTTTTTCTCTTGGTGAAAAATGGTTGTGCTTGGCCATATGTTCACTACCATCACCATCACAATCCCATCACCAGCCTCTTGCTCCCACGGTCATTGGATTGGAGTCAGATGAAGGCACTTGGGTATTTGGCTAGGAAGAGGCAAACGAAGGCATGTGAGGCTCTGAAGTGTTTGATAGGATGCTCTGCGTCACTGAGAAGCTCCAATGGACCTGCTGGTCCCTCAGCAGTGATGAGTATCCATGCAAAAGAGTGGGGAGTGTGACAGCCTGCTGCACGGGATGCCCTTTCCAAGCTGCTACTCACTCCAATCCAGTAGCTGTCAATGGCAGAAGGCGGTCATTAACTACTGCACTTTGCTTTTGGACTGAACTCTGCTCACTTCAGCTCCTGGATTTGGAGCTGTCCTGCTCTATGCAGTGCTGGGTTAGCCCAGGGCAGAGCCATCCTGGGGGGAAAACTGGGTGAGGTACAGTCAGGACCCCCAAATTACCCTGTTATGTATTTTGCCCAATTGCACATTTTCTTCTCTCATTCCTGTTGCCTTTCTTGAGCTGTTCTCCTTTTTGAGCTGGTTGCATCCTGCAGGCATACACTTGCCAGGCACAACAAAGCTGTGATGCATGCACACGCCTGCACACTTTGCCCTGTGCTCATACACGTTTGCACGCCTGGAGCCAAATCCCTGATTACTGCCCGTGCCCCTAAGAGGGATTACAGCTTCTTAGGGGGGATCTGGCTGTGGGTTGGGATCAGAAGCCTGGCAGGGGCTTCCTTCCTGTAACTCAGCTCCTACACCATATTCCTGCGTTCCAACTGAACCCAGCTCCGTCTCCATTCCACCCCTTTCTGCTCCCAGCTGGCACCCAGATGAAGCATGGGGAGGATGCCCAAAGGCATCACTGGTGGCTGGGGTGACGCCAGTTACGTGATTCTGCACTGGGGGTCTGGAAGAAAAGTGGGTGGCAAAGCTAATGGCAAAACCAATGGTAAAGCTAGTGGGCAATGCTGATGGCAAAGCTGCGGTGGCAGTACATTCTGGCATCTTGTTCAGCACTGCAACAGACTGGGTGGCACTTGGGTGGCAGATCTGCAAGGACTGCAATGCTGGCCATGTCCTCAGTCCTACCACTGTGTTTGAGGATCGACAAGGATGGGTCTGGGGAGCTGGGAAAGCCCTGGGACACTTGGCTCTGAAGTGGCTCCAGGTCTGCATTGCCTGCTTAGAGATGGGCTGCTTATACTCTCCAAGAGGCCAAGGTAGGCTCAGGGAATACTGAATTTTGGGGATCTCTTTATTCCATGGGCTAGAAATGAGAAATGGAGAAGCATGATGGTTTTTTCTTTTTTTTTTTTAATATTTCCTCCTCAAAGAGTCTGCACACTGAGGAGAGTCAAAAGCTGGCTCAGCAAGGCTGCAGTGTGTGGGTAGGGTCAATGGGGACCTCATGTCCTGGAGAAATGAATGTGGTGCTTCTCTGAGCTGTGATGAATCTCAGCTGTGTTGCCCATAGGGAATAGGGACCTCTGTCATGGGTGTTGCCAGAATTAGGGACCTCCAGTATGCGGACTGAACTCGGATGGTTTGATCTGCACGGCCCATCCACTGCTCTTTGTAGAAGGGTGTGAATTTGGGATGGAGCAGAAAGAGCAGGAGATGCCCACAGAAACAGTATGTGTTAGGGAGGATTGAGAAAAAGTCATGGTGCTGGTCCAGGCTTCACGATGACCCTTAACAGCATCTTCATAATGCGCAATCTGCATCGATGGCTTTGGGAGTGTGCAGGTGTGGTTCGAGAAACATGGAGATGTGGCACTGAGGGACATGGTCAGTGGGCCTGGTGGTGGTGGGTTGGGGTTGGACTTGATGATCATAGAGGCCTGAATGGTTCTGTGGTTCTGTGTATGGTTGTATGAAAGAGTTGGCCAAGGGGTCCCAGGAGTTGGCTTTGGTTTGACCCTGTGCCATCAGAGAGGATGCAGCTGACGTACATCCACGAACATGGAAAGGATGCTGGGGACAGTGAGCCAAGCGCTCAACCTTGGGCATTTCAGAGCTCCGTGGTTATGACCATGCACATCACCTGGGCTCCCGCTGAATTCCTCCCCCCTCTCCCTTCCCTCTTCCCTTTTCACTAAATGCTCCCCGAAGAGCTCAGACATCAATCGAAGGCAGTCGAAATGGCTGTGCTTTGTCTCCCTGAAGAGGCAGCTCCAGCGCAGCCCTGCCTGGCCGCCCCACAGCCGCGTGCAGGGCCCATTTTCACATCTCTCTTTGTGAAGGAGCAGCCTTGAGCTAAACGGCACTCGAGGAGCATTGAACGAAATGTTCGTTCACCTCTTCCATGTGGCACTCAGCGCCCGTCTCCGCCTCTGACGCTAATGATCCGGACGAGTTTTTTCCGAGTATAATGGGGAAAAGAAATGAAAGGCAAAGGGGCTGGAGGAAGGGAGGTGAGATGCATTTAGAAGCCCAAACATTCACGGGGAAAGTGGCTCCTGAGTGGCCACACAAAGGCCCGGCTGTGCCCGGCTCCGTCCCTCCTCCAGCTTGCCTCCCCCGCCACCTCCGGCCCCGCAGCGGGACCAGAAGGATGGGGATAATGGATTGCATTATCAGCAAGCACGTTAAATGTCCAACCACTCATGTGCAATAAAGAGAAGCTGGTCTTTAGCTAATCGCACTGGAGGAGCTCTCAGCTGGGGTTTGAGAGCGAAATGTTTCCCTTCGTCTCCCGCCTCAAGACTGCCCCATAAGGAGCTGGCTGTGGGGTGCTGGAAAAGACCACTCAGATCACCAGGTCCAATATCAACCCATCCCCGCCATGCCCACTAGCCGTGTCCCTTGTCTATTAAACCGTGTCCATAGGAATCCTACCATCACCTCCCATCTTACCACAGCACCCTGGTTGTCTCCTGGGGTGGCTCTGGAGGGAGAATGTCCACACCTGAGCAGCAGAGTGGTGGATCTCATGGTGGGATCTGCTATTGCAATGAAGGGCTGCAGCCCAAATGGCACCAGCAGAAAGTCTCCGTATCAACGTTGCAGGAGATGTGTGCCCAGAGGTGACGAGTCTTCCGAAAGACCCTTCCACAGCCTTTTGAAGGACTCATGAGGTTTAACAACTCTCCAAACCACGTGAGCAGATGTTTGCTGATGAACCTGCCCTTCTCCAGGATGTTTCTGCGCTTTTAGAGGCCATGTGAGCATCTCCTTTGTGAGAATAAGCCTGTGAATATCACCTGGAAACTCTTCGTAAAATGAAGAAAACCCAATGCAGTTTGTCCATCGTGGAAACCTCTGGTTCCAGCTTACATTCCTGCATCAGAATGATTAGCATATTTAATTAAGCAAACCTGTTGACATTTCTAACTGGTTAGATTAACAGTTTTTCTTCTCCCAAGGAGAAGCAGAAGGATCAGAACTGCCCACTCCCCCTGGAGAGATGCACACAAATGGATTCATGCAGCCGGCAGGGTTTCTGGGCAGAAGGAAAGCCCAGGGAGCAAGTGGGCTTTTCACAAAAATGAAGAGCCTAGGACATCCAATAAATGGATCTGCTCCAGGCCCCGAGTCTCCAACCACAGCAGGGGGATCCTTTTCTCTCCCAAAGTACTGGCACGGGTCAGGTGGATGCTGGAAGAAAGGAGGAGCCAGCTCTCTGCTCCTCGTGAGGATGGGATGGGAGGTTCTAGGAGCAGGGTGCCATGCCCTCCTGCCGAGATGTTGGCTTAATCCCCCGTGTGCTGATAAGGTCACGCCAGGACCCGTGCTCCTCCCTCCCGTGCGTTGTCTGAGTCTGGTGGCTCTCTTGGCCCTATTTATAGTGCGGTGAGAGGATCAGGGGGAATCAGTGCCCAGCAGCCCCGACGCTCACCCCACTTCCCACAGACAGTCCCTGCTCGCTGCCTGCTGCCGGAGCACCAAAGCAGCCCTCGTGAAGGTATGTGCTGGCACCGCAGGCATGGGGTGTCAAGGGGAGCAAACCTACCACATCTCCATTCCCAGAAGGATGGGATGGGGATATTTTTTTTGTTGAGAGAAAGGTGCGGAGCAGGGCTGCGGTGTGGTGGCATGGTGGGGAGCCCCAGTGTTGGAAAGCTCTGGCTGATTTCTTTGAATAAAAAGACAAATTACATATTTGTCTCACACTGATGGTGGCAAGGTCACCATCCCACCATCCACCCTTGCACCTGAAGTCACCTGGATTAATAAACCCATAGCTATAGGGAAACACTGACTTCAGCAAGGCCATCTAGCCACTCCCAGGGATGGGTTGGAGGTCTAACCCTGCCCAGGTATTCTGCTGGGTGTTCTGTGTCACGACTAGAGCCCCAGGACCATGTCCTGAATCTCTGGGGTGCAATAGAGGTGATGGAGGGGGTTTGGAAGATGGTGGACCCTGATATGCTGAGTGGAAGGCAGCATGTTGGGTTGGGTTGGATTGGGCTGGGTTGGATTGCATTGGGTTGAACTGGATTTGGTTGGGTTGGGTTGCATTGTGTTGGATTGGATTAGGTTGGGTTGGGTTGAGTTGTGTTGAGTTGTGTTGGGTTGATTTTGTTGCTCATTCCTACCAGCTCTGGTCTACATTTCAAAGAGTGTCGGAGCAGCAGGATGCTCAGAAAGACAACACCTCTCTATGCATGGTCCTGCGCAGACATAAAACCCTGTCCAACGTGGTGACGGGGCCACCCCTGGGGACCATCCTCAGCATCCCGATGGAGCTCTGCCTCAGCACTGGCTTTGCTGAGGCACGTTGGCTCTCCCTCCTCTTTCTGGCCGCACTGAGTGTTCCCTCACTGCCAAAATCCCTGCCCGCAGCGTATGGTGACAATGAAGGGACTCAGGAGGGCACAGGCCTGATTCAGTGTGGGGAGTACAGCAACCAGGTGCTGCCCAATGGCCGCTGCAAGATCGTGGCCACGCTGCCCCAGGGGGATGAGCAGCGGTGCCCAGACATGTTTCGCTGTACCGACGAGGTGTCCTATTGGCTCCACGAGAATGAGGAACGCAAGCAGCAGATCCTGGAGCTGCGGGAGCTGATCTCGGAGCTGCAGGAAGAGCTGAGAAACCACCGGCATCGCATCAAGGTCCTGGAGCTCCAGGTAAAGCTGTCCTTGGTAGGTTCCCTCTGTGTGGTGCTTCTGGTTGCAGGGAGAGGACGCTGGGAAGCTCATAGTGTTGTTGTGACCACATATTGGGATATCCATTAAACCCCTCTTACTGTGCTGGCTCAGAGGCCTTCCAGCACTAAATCTCTCTTATCATGAGCCACAAACCCTCTGGTGTTTTATCTGTGGCCCTGCTGTGAGACGAATAAGACCTCCACCTCTGAACCTGCCTAGAATGGGTTGGAGTTGCTGATCCATGCCATTGCCCACGAGCAAAAACAACTAGAGCTGAAATTTTAGGTAGTCAGGGAGGAGACACATCTTAGGAGGCCACAGTTGAACCAAATCCCAGGTAGCCAGGTCTGAGCTCCCTGCGTAATACAGGGCAGGGAACTGCAGTCAGCAAGGAACAATTTGGCTGGAAGGATATTGTGTAAAACTCAACAACTGTAAGCAAGTCTTGTCTTTGGGAGAGATGAGGTCTGATATGGGCTGGCACTAAGAACTGATGTGACTCACGCACTGTTTGGCTTCGTCTCCTTGCCTACACCCTTCCCTTGGGCTCCCTCATTGCAAAGCTTCCCCTTCCCAGGCTTGGTGTGCTCATGTGGGGCTTTGTTTCCATACCTCCCTCCACAAAACGTTCTCATCTGCCCCACACAGGGCATGACTCACAGTTTTGCCATATGCCAGATGCCTGCAACTGTAGGTCCATGTGAGAGACCCAGGTTTGTGTGTCTTGGGTACTGTGGTCATTCTCGCCATCTGCCCTTTTGGACCATGACGTTTACATCATGCAGACCAAAGCTCTCTCCTGCATCCACCACTGTGACCCACCTAGGGAGACCTCGCTCACCCCTATTCCACTTTTCTTCTGTCTCCTCACACTGGGACCAGAACAGATCTTCTAGCCTTCACTTCTCATGTCTATGCCCTAGTTACATCCATACCCTTAGGACTGTTCAACCCATTCTTCCCCAGTTCCAGCTTGAAGAGGATAGATTTAGGTTAGATATAAGCAAAAAGCCTCTTACACTGAGGGTGGTGAGGCACTGGAACAGCCCAATGATGTGGTTGATGCTCTGTCCCTGGAGACTCTCAAGGTGAGGCTGCACCAGGCCCTGGGCAACATGATCAAGCTGTGGTGTCCCCATTCATTGCAGGGGAGTTGGACTAAATGGCCTTTAAAAGCCCCTTCAAACTTTAAGGATTCTATGATTCTAAGAAAAGTTGTAGAGATGTGGCACTGAAGGACATGGTCAGTGAGCGTGGTGGGGTGGGATGGGCTGGGTTGGGCCTGATGATGCTGGGGCTGTTTTCCAACCTTAATGATTCTATGGTTCTATAATTCTGTGCTTGGAAGACCTCATTCACATGCAAAGACACAGTCACTGTGTGACCTAAGCCTGTGATCCCTTTTCTACTCCAAGAACCATAGAATCACTCAGGTTGGAAAAGACCCTTACGATCCCCAAGTCCAACCCCAACCCACCCCACCATGCCCACTGACCGTGTCCTTCAGTGCCACATTGCCTCAGTTCTGGAACACCTCCAGGGACGGTGATCCCACCACCTCCCTGGGCAGCTGTGCCACTGCAGCACTGCTCTTTCTGAGAGGAAATGTTGCCCAACATCCACCCTGAACCTCCACTGGCACAACATGAGGCCATCACCCCTCCTATCAATTATCCACTTGATAATTCCTGCGCCTTTGCACTTAGTTTATTCTGCTTTTCCCTGTTAATTGCTGGGGTTTTTTTTTGCACAGAATAGTCCTTCACTAGATAGCACAGTGAAGTGGATGTTTTCTTGGGTTGGTGGTGGTTGGGTGGTGGTTGATGGGGATGCTTCTGGAGCAGCTGCCGATGATGGCATTCCTCCTACCCACACCTAGAATGTATATGTAATTGTCTCCGTGGGATCCAGCAGATCCTGAGACAGAGATCTGAGCAGTGAATGTGGAGACACTAACACTGCTGAGGCTCCTTGGATGTCTCCAGGTGACAGGAATGAACTGGGAGACCTTGTTTCTACTTAATGGAAGCCCAGGTGGGCAACACTTAAGGGGTTTTGTCTGCTGTGGGGTGCTGCTGGGCTCCTCACACTACTGGGAGAGCAGAGAGCAAGGGGCACACAGGCATCCCCAGGCAGCCTCCAGCCCCACTGAGATGTCCCCAGGAAGGTCACACCTTGAGAACAGTGCCACCAAGGTACAGCTACAAGGGAGAAGGGATGGTCTCTGGGATCTTTTGAAGTCCCTTTGGGTTGGACTTTGGTTGGAAAGGACCCTGAGCAACTGCAGCTGGCTTTGCAGTCACTCTGCATTCCCTGCTGTGTCCACCACCCAGCCTGGACAGGTATCTCCGCATCCCTTCCTCCCACCCAGGAGCTGCTGCTCCCTTAATCCACCATCATAAATCACCTCTTGCTGGTTTGCCATCAGTCCTTCTCCTGGCGCTTGGTGTGGGCTTGTCCATTCAAGCAGACATCTCTCTGAGCTCTGCATCCCGAGGTGATGGAGAGCAGCACACAGCTCCTCCCCTCATAACAGGGACACCAAAATGGGTCAGAATGAGTGGTCCCTTCTCTGCCTCAGGATGAGTCCCACGAAAACCCATCACCAGCCACTGTCTGGGGCGAAGCATCGTGGGTTTACTCAAAGAGCTGGAGCGTGGGTGCAGGCTGCCGCTGTCGGTCATGGCTCACAGAGCAGAGCTGATGAATGGGAGAGACAGAGATGTTGCAGCCCTGATAAGGAAAACACCACGTTGTCGCATGCCGTAATTTCCATTTTGCTGCCACTGCTTGGGATCCTATGAGCAACACATGGGTGAGCATGGCACCAGGGCCTGGCAATGCTCGGGTAGCACTGGGAAGGATGCTACCTTGAGTTATTGGTACCAAAACTCGCAGTGTTGTACCATCTCCTGGGAACAGCAATGTGTCCTGGCAGCAGTGGGTGGCAGGGACTGAGCTGTGAGCCAGGTCCTTGGGAAGAAAACACTCTCTGGCTGCATGAGCCCCTTCTAGCTGAAGGAAATACACCTACTGTGGTTCTGCAGATGGCTGGGCATGCCTTCAGGGTGATGCTGTTGGGAGATAGCCATGATACAGGGTCCCATGTCAACCATGCTGGCAGAGCATCCCATGTCACAGCACAGGGACCACCAGCAGGGCAGGAGAGAAGAAGGGGAGGCTGTGGGAAAAGCAGCATCCCTGCAGTGCAGGTAAAGGGCTGGGGGCTCCCGGACCCCAAAGGAATGGGTGGTGCAGGGGTAGGGAGGGTATTTCAGCTCGGCTGCTGCAGGGTTCGGAGGGGCTGCCTAAAGCCTGCTCTGCCACCTAACGGGCAGCCCGAGGAGCACCGAGCAAGGCAGGTGAGCACCTCTCGAGTGACTGCATCTGGACAGTGTTTTACAAGGCAAACCCAATGGTGGTGCGGTTCCAGGCTGGAGAATACATGGGGAGCAATCATGGGGAGCTTGCACTGCTCTGTCAGCACTAGGTTTGTCTATGTGCATCCTGCTTGGGGGGATAGGAAGGTTGCGGGCTCTGCAAAGGGCTGGGGGCTGCAGAGTGAGGGTGAGGCCATCAGCGCATCCTCCCAAACCATTTGTATCCTTATCTGCAGCATGAAGAGGCAGCTGGGAGGAACCACAGCCTGGAGCAGCGGGTACAGGACCTGGAGCAGAGGTACAGCGAGGCCAGCACCCTGCAGCACATCCAGGCCACGCTGCTCTACGACATGCAGGCACAGATCAACAACATCTCCGTGCTGACCGACTGGGTCTGGCGCAACCCCACCTGCCTCAACCCTGCTGAGATGAGGCTGCAGGAGGAGATGGAGCGGCCAGGTGATGGGGAGGTGCTGGGGTGGGGGATTCATAGTCATGGAGTGGAGAAAAGGCCTTATGTCACAGAATCCCAGGGCGGTTTGGGTTGGAAGGAACCTTACAGCCCATCCAGTTCCAAATCACTAGTCTTTTGCCACCCACCAGATCATGCTGCCCAGGGCCCCATCCAACCTGGCCTTGAGCACCTTCAGGGATGGGTCACCCACAGCTCTCAGGACAGCAGTGCCAGAACCTCGCCACCCTCTGAGTACAGAATTTCTTCCCAACACCAAATCCAAATCTCCCGTTTTAGTTTTAAATCATTCCCTTTTGTCCTGTCCCTATCAGACCACGTAAAAAGTCCATCTCCATCTTTGTATTCAATTTATCATCTCTCTTTAAAAGCTGAGAGGAGCCAGTGTCTGCCTTTCCAGCGAGGAGCATCCATTGCATGACTCATGTGTTGCACACGCAGGAGCCACTAATGGCTTTCACCTACCAACCTTGATCCAATCTGAGCTGGTGACGTCAGGGGGAAAGGCGTGTTTCTCCTCCCTGAGCCAACTGGTCTGAGACTTTTCCATTGCGCTGGTGTAAAGCTCTTATGGCCATTCATATAATGGTTGAGACACTGGGAACAGTTCCAGCAGGACAGGCTTCCAAACTCCTCCACGCCCTGCGCTTATCTCTTCTCCATCTTATGTGCTGAAAATGACATTTCTCTGCTTTCTTGCTCAGATATGAGGCACGTCAGGAACTGCCCCATTGACTGCGCTTCTGTTTACTACAACGGGCTCCGTCGATCTGGGATCTACAGCATCATGCCCTCTGTTGGAGGGATGCCCATCGAAGTGCTGTGTGACATGGACACTGAAGGTACTGCACCTACACCATCTCCCAGCAAAACTCGGGGTGGGGGCTGCCTAACCTGAGAGCTGTACCTTACCTGAGCTGTTTGGGGATTGTATTACAGTCAGTGAGAGCAGCATCTCCAGAAGGGCTGAACCACTCCATTGGTGAAATAAGGGGTTTGGATGAATAACTCTAACCAGATATTATGGCTCTCGCACAGATACTTTTGTGGATGAAGCCTCCCAGACCCTTGATTATCTAATTATCTATACACAACGTATCACCGTCATACCTAGGCAGAAAATTACTCACAAAATTGGTTTACAATACTCACGTTTTGTAAGAACACTGTCAACTGACAGGGAAAAATGGTGGATGGTCAGTTCTTTGCCCCATGGATCTGCTCTGGATAGGATGAATGTGTCACATCAACACATCGCATGCTGGACTGTCAGGTGGGAGGGCTTTGACTGCCCCCATGTAGGCAACTCGTTAATGGGGAACATTAACTCAAAGGATCTACAGGTGATGGCAGCTCTGGGATATGAGTGCTTGTTAAGAAGCAGACTGCTCTGACAATGTGATCTCTATTATGTCATTACTGTTATTTGCATGACCATTGCCACAATCTTGGACACCGCGGGGTGACAGCCTGTACAAACAGCAAATGAAAACGTGGCCTCGGTCCCTTCCTAAATCTTACAATACTGGAATGAAATGAGAGAGGAGAGAGGGGTTTGGACAGATGGGAGAGCAGATGGAGACAGTGAGACAATACTGTAAGAGACCTCATGTGCCTCTATGGTGCTGTGGGAACAGTACACATAATCTCCATACTTCAGGAGACACCCACAGATGGGTCCTCAAAGATGTCACTGTGTGCTGGCAGTGGGACCCACAGACATCACCCTTTTGCTTCCTTCCCTGGCAGGTGGGGGCTGGACTGTCATCCAGAAGCGTCAGGATGGCTCAGTTGACTTCAACAGGACCTGGAATGAATATAGGGAGGGCTTTGGGGATCTGAATGGTGAATTCTGGCTGGGCAATGAGAACATCCACAAGATAACGAGCCAAGGAGACTACTCTCTGCGTATTGACATGGAGGACTGGAACAGCAAGCACAAGCATGCCTTCTACCAGATCTTCAGGTAGGCTTTCCCTGGTTCTTGGTAGATGCAAATGGTTCAATGCCAGAAGACACTGAATGATAGGATGTTCTCAAGTTTTGCTCAGGTCGGATGTTAGGAAATGTTTCTTCTCATAAAGAGCAGTGCTGCAGTGGCACAGCTGCCCAGGGAGGTGGTGGGGTCCCCAAACCTGGAGGTATTCCAGTACTGTGGGGATGTGGCACTGAGGGACACAGTGGGCAGTGGACAATATTGGTGGTAAGTGGTGGTTGGACTTGATCTTAGAGGTCTTTTCCAACCTGAATGATTCTATAAAACCTGCAGGTATGGGAATCCCACTGTGGCACAGTCCCCTGCAGCTGAGAGGTGATTCTGCTCAGATTACCAATCTCAGTGTCAAAAACAGGGGCTTGAATCCCATGTTTTTTTCTGGCAGATTCTCCAGCATCTCCATTCTTTGGGGTCATGTTTTCATTTTTACCCCCTCTATTCGTGGATTTTACCTGTTGTGTGTGACATAATGTTATTCAGCATCTGCAGCTCTTTCCCTCCTCTGGTGTTTGTATTACCCATACCACATCAGCCACATCCTTTCTTAAGCAAGGGTGACCAGGGCTGCCCAGATGAAATACTTCCTTCTCTGAGCTGGAAATGGTTGTGGGTGACTGTGGAATTGCCTGCCATGGGAGGGTGTGCAAGGCAGCAGGGAACATCTGGAGCTTGCAGGCTTAGAGTAGGCACCAAAATAGCTGGATCTATTTAAAAACAAAACAAAACATTACCTGAAAGTGCCTTGCAACATCCTTTGCCATCAAACACGTGCTCTGAATGGTCACCCGACCTTTCTCATAAGATGTCTTGTGCAATGGCAGTGACCTTCAACCCTTGCTAGCCCAGGGCTAATTACTAATTGTCTCTGTATAGGTGAAGAATAAGATGCTTACTTTGTGGCGAGGAGGCAGTACTGTGTAATTAGGGAACTGTCTTGCCAAAGCTGCCGAAGCCCTTTATTGTGGTTTTAGAGTCACAGTCTGCCCAGCTCAAACCTGTAAGAGCTGCCCTGAGTCACGACACAAGCATGCACATCCCACAGAATGGAGAAATACGATGTCTTTGGCTTTCAGAGGTGATGAATCACAGCGGGGATCACGGCCAGAGCAGCTCAACGATTTCTAGGTGTCCCCACCAGGAATGCAGGCTTTGCACTCCTCACCTGCATCCTTTGCTTGCAGCATTGAGGACGAGGCCAACTCTTACCGCCTGCACGTGGATGGGTTCAGCGGGACGGTGGAGGATTCCTTTGCCTGGTACCACAACAAGAGGAGCTTCAGCACGCCCGACTCAGGGAACATCTGTGCTGAGATCTCCCACGGGGGCTGGTGGTACCACCAGTGCTTCTTCTCCAACCTCAATGGGGTGTACTACAAGGTGAGGCGCAGGGCCAAGGAGCCGGGTGTTAGCACACACAGTGCTTCTTCAGTGCCATAGGCCAGACACCAGCATTAAGGCATGCCGTGGCTTGGGACCGCGTGATGGAAGCTCACAGTGCGGGGTGATTCATGCGACCTGAGTTGCCACCTCCACTGGGAGCATGTGAAAAATGTTGAGCTTTAGGTGCTCTTGTCACTGCGTCGCCGTTAAGCTCTTTGCTCGGTGTTTCAGAGCAATCTTTTTTTCGGATGCTCTCATCCAGATGACATTTCTCATGCCCAGCCATCTCTCTTTCTCTGCGTCCCAGGGTGGCCGATACTCCATTAAGAACCGCAAGATCCTCGGGCCGGACGGCGTTGTGTGGTACTCGTGGAAGGACACAGACTACTACTCCCTGAGGAAGGTGGTCATGATGATTCGACCACGCACTTTCCGGCCCCACATCTCCCCATGAAGGAGCCATGGGCGTTCTTCAATCCACCTAAGAGTGAATGCTGGTAACAGAGGGCTGGAAATAGCTTGTTGTGAGGAAAAACTAGAGACCGAGGAACCGAGCCACCATCCTTCCTGAATTGAACCAACAGCCGAAGTGTCAAGGCCTTCAGCAAGGGACTGGGGGATAAAAGCCCTTCTGACAACATGGAGGTGGGTGATGAGAACTCCTTTGCAGAGATGAGCATGGAGCTTGCTGGCTCTCCAGGTAGCAGCAGTCCTTGGTGTGCTTGGGCTTCCTCAGGACCCGAGCCCAAATCTGGGCATTGGTTTTAGCTGGATGATGGGAGTTTATGTCGAAAAACGGAGATGCTGAGTAACCTGGATGCAAATCTGGCTGTAATTTCAAGCCAGGAATCTTGTGGACATTTTCCACATAGGACGCGATTGATCAGTTCTTTCTCTGTAAAAGGTGAGCATCTCTCTGGGCATGGCTGTTTCTGTGCTCAGGTGGCCATGTGTGTTTTTAGTACTGAAGACCCACCACTATCACAACACAGATGTCCTAGGGTGGGTTCAAGGTGCTAAGGCAGCCCTGGGGATGTGGGGAAACCAAGGTTGGATGGAATCCATAGATGGATTCATGGGAAAAATAGGAGGAAAGTCTGCAGTGGTCCCTGCTTCTGTAGCAGGGACAATTTATCTGCAACAATGACACTCCAAATAATAGGATTTAAGAATCAAATTGTTGACTGCTTTCCATTTTCCATTCTGTCTTCACCTTTCCAACCTTTTGCTGGCAAAGAACTTCTGATGAACTTTCTATCCACCTTAAAAGTGGTCTTCAGGAATGGTTAGGTATGACATTAAGTCTTCTTTAACTGCCTTACTCTGGATAAAGATTGTCACTGTTCGCTTTTAATTTTTGTAGCCACCTTTCAAGCATTCTAAAAATGAGTATCCCCATGACATATTATTATTACAATAATATAAACAATATTATTTGTGGTTTGCCTTGGTAGCCTTCTATGGCAGTTGTTTCCAAGACTGATGGCGTTTGGGAGTTGCAATGCAATGCCCTATGCTGTTGTGCCATCATGTGCAAGGAGCATCAGGGCACTACCAGTGATGAATGGAGAGCTCTCTTGCTTCATGACATGAGTGTCTTGCTTGGCACCATCCTTTTAGGGTCCTGGCTCCTTGTTGCCCTCACTGGGCAGCCCTGTGGACCCACGTAGCACGTTTGTTGCTATGTCTGCAATTGAACTTTGCATCCTGCTGGGGGTCTAGCTACATGACCCGGCATGATTTTGTGCCCAAGTCAGAAGAAAGTCTGGAACAGTTCTCTTCTGATGTCTTGTGTCAATGATAGCATTTCCATCCGTGTGATAATTGGAACCCAGTGCATCCACTGGGCATGGAGATCACCTGCCCGTGCTCCATAGGTCTCCATGGCTGGAAAAGGCATCTGAACTGGGGATGGAAGAAACACAACAAAGTCAACAAAAGCTCCTTGGTGTGTGTGGCCTGAGGCTAGGCTGGCAAACACCTTGAGTGGGGAGAAAGTGCTGGGGAAGAGGAAGAACAGGGAAGTGTTATATTAGCTGTTGTATGATACAGTGCTGAAAGCACTGGAGATATGCCATCCACAGGCTTCTCCCCAGCACAAGTTGTGGTCTCCTGGCTCTGCTCCCCATGTCCCCACTGCCCTCCTCAAAGATTCTGGGGCCTTTCTATGTCCCCATGGCAGGAGCTCCCTCAGCATCTCCCTGCCTCCTCCATCCTCAGCCCAGCACAGGTTCCTCTTTCCATCGTGTCATGATTTTTCCACCCCTTCAGGCTCCTCTTGGCACATGCTGTTGTGGTCTATGACGTAGAGTCCTTGGGTGGAGCAATATATTCTCTTCTTCTCTAGTTTCTTTTATTTTAAAATGTTTATTAAAATAAGATGCACTAAACAAAGAGTGATTTTTGCTGTGGGTTTACACAGCTCCTACAAATCTGCTGGTGATCAGCCTCAAGAATCGTGCTGATGTACAAGAGCTATGCATCTTGCCACTCCTTTTGCCTGTGGCTCTTCTTCCCTTTTAACAGGCTTTTCTGTTGCCCCCTGCTCCTCTCCCACAGAGGATGAGTGTGATGAGTACTGGGCATCACAACCCTGCTTCCATAGGGAGGTCTGGATTCCTTCTGGGATTTGCATTAATGCTGGCACTGAATCCCACACCCATGGGAGCACCTACTCCTTGGTTGGCACCCATCTTGCAAGGCTTTCCAGGGCCAAGACATCCTTGGCTCTGAAGGAAAGAAAGCTTGTTTCCTTTGGTAAACTGGTTCTAAATTTTACCCCAACCCAAAAGAAGACAATGCACACACACCACACACTGCACAGGTCATGAGAAAACAAAAGAAATGCCAAGGCAGTTTATTTACAATTGTTGTATACAAAAAAAAGGACAGCTCGTGCCACAGCTAGAACAGCCCCCTCCATTTCCTTCACACACTGCCTTCTCCCACACTCCCATTTTCGACAGCCCCTCATGGCTCAAGGCTGGCCCCACCCCGGCCCCAGGATCCAGGCAAGAATCTCATGGCATGAGAAAAGACGTGGCTCCCCCTGGATCTGAATCAGTGCTAGGAGAACCTTATCTGGCCATAGAGGAGACTGAGACCTTGGTTTGGAGCAGGGTTAGAGGTGCCCGGGTCAGGCTGCATTGGGTGTATCCCATCCCTGCTTCCCAGCGTGGGGTCATAGAATCATAGCATGGCTTAGGTTGGAGGGGACCTTAAAGATCATCTAGTTCCAACCTTCTGCCATGGGCAGTGCTGCCACCCACCAAATCAGGTTGCCCTGGGCTCCTTCCAACCTGCCCTTGAGTGCCTCCAGGGGTGAGGCACCCATAGCTTCTCTGGGCAGCCTATGCCACTGCTGGTCCTCTTTGCCTCTTGGTTTTTTTTTGTTTTTTTTTTTTTTGTTCCATCACAGTTTCCACAACCTTGCCCAGTTTCCCTCTCCTGCTCCAGCACTCGCTATTCTAACACCCATTTAAGCTGCTGACTCTGAAAGGGGATTTCATCCAAGAGTGCCCGAGAAGATGAGCCTTAGGAGATCTCTTACAAAATCCAGCAGCTCTTTGGGAAGTCATGGGGTTTTCCAAATTCACCCTTGGAAAGGGTCATCCTGCAGCCAACTAAAGCCTTTGGACTCCCTCCAATGAGGGCTCTCCTCGCCCCCTCCTCAAAACAGTGCTGTGAGGTCTGTGGGGCTGTAAGTTCCAAATCCAGGCCTTGAAGATGAGGCGGGATGGAGAGAGGAGGGTCACTGAGAGATGCCATTGCCCCACTGGGGTGGGACAGAGGAGAATCACTGCTGGAGGGGCTCTTGCCTGCCCAGCACCAAACGAAAGTCACACACAATGCACATTCCCCCTTTCCCTCCCCACCCACTCCATCCCCACCTCTCTGGCCCCAGGCTGGATCCTTCCGACCTCCTGGGCGGGCGGCGCTGATGGACCCCATGGAAATGGTCGCCTCGAAGCCCACCCGTCCGCTCGCCTCCCTCCCCACCCTCCCCAAAACGACTAGGATGGCTTCACTGGTCAACTCTGTACATTCACAAACAACAAAAGCAGAGGGACGTCCCTTTCCGCCGGCCGGCCCGGTGCTGCGGCAGCCTCCAACACCTCCCGGAGCTGTCAGTCCAAACATCGCCTCTTTACCTGGAGGCCTCTTCCTTGAGCTCCTTGTTTTTCCTCACTTCTTCTGCATGTTTGTCCTGTGGGGAGGTGGGAGGGAAGGAGGGACGCGTTAGATCGCCCGACTTCGGGACGGCGGCTTCGCAGGGGTTTCGAAGGCACGAGGTTCGTCCCCGCGGGGACACCGGTGGGTCAACAGCATCCTCTCCTCCCCCAGGGTGTTTTAAGGACGGTGGAGGCACTCAGGGACAGACAGAACGATTGTCCTTGCCCTCTATCTAGGAGGTAGACGTCCACCAGACAAGATGGAGCGGGAACCCCGAGGAGATGGGGCGAGCTCGGATTGTCCGCCATTATCTCGTACTCTCTGCCTCTGACCCAAGGCTGGCTGAGGAGCTTGGAGAAGGGCACTGGGTGAGCTCCGTGCAGAAGGAATGGTTTGGAGGGAGCTGGAGGTGGTGAGGGTGGGACCTTCCGTGCGGAGGTTGGGAGCAGACCTGCTTCGGGGAGAGAGAGGAGGTGTCTGCTCACACCGGCAGGGTGGGAGCACCTCCGACGTGGCAGCATGGCCCCTCCAGCTCCCACCAGTACATCGGGCTCACAGTGTCCCCATGCGTGACCCCCCACCCCAGGTGGGACGTGGCACTGGGGTAGAAGAAGAGGCCCCCCATTGGTGGTGCCCCCAAGGGTTAGTGTCACTCCAAGAGCCATGTATCCCACCCCTGCTCTCCAGTGTGGGGTCGTAAAACCAAAGAATGGCTTAGATTGGAGCGGACCTTAAAGATCATCTAGTTCCAACCTCTTTTGATGGGCAGGGCTGCCAACCAGTAGATCAGGCTGCCCAGGGCCCCATCCAACCTGATCTGGTCCTGTGGCACCCTCCTGTTCCTGTGCATCCCCCCTCCATCCTCGCCAGGCCCTCACCTTCTCCTGCAAGCGCTCCAGCATGGCTGCTAAATGGGCCTCACGGTTCTCTTTGTTGGACTCCATCTTCTGCGCCAGCTTCTCCTTGGCCATTTTGATGAAGTTGTTGTTCTCCTCAATGGCCTTCTGGATGACCTCCCGCTCGTGCTCCCGCTTCTCTGCCAGGTGCTTCAACAGCTCGGCCTCTTGGTACTGTGCAGACAAAACCATGGCCATGTGGACCGCAGGGACCATAGGTTCCTTCCCATCCCAGCTGAAAATGTCCCCTCCAAACTAAGTGATGGCCCCAAAGTGGGCAGTGCCATGGGAGTGAGAATCCCAAGTGCAAGGCTGTGTGTCCCCATGGCACATCCCTATGTTGCGCTGCTGAGGAAGACCCCTTGTGCCTACCTTCCTCCTCTCCTCTGCTGCCTCTAGCTTCTTCTGGATCTCCTCCAGAGATGGGTCGCGCCGCCGGGGCAGTGAGGCATTGAACTCAGGAATGCCATCAAATGATGGGGGCTTCAGGATGACCTCGAAAGATTGCCCCGAGGTGCGCTTGTTGAGTTCGATGACTTCCATGTCGGAGATGACACACCAAGTGAGGTCTACCGTGTCTGCTGGAAGAGGGACTTGGTGTGACCTCCAGCACTGGCACATCCCACCCTCTGCCTCCCATGCCATGGGTGATGAATGGACTGAGAGCAGCCCTGCTGGGGAAAACCTTGGGGAGGCTGGTGGATGAAATGGACTGCCAGTGTTGGAGCCAGGCCAAAGGAGGGCCACAAAAATGACCAGAAACATGGAGCATCTCTTCTATGAAGAAGGGTTGAGAGAACTAGGGCTGTTCAGTCTCGAGAAAAGAAGGCTCCAGGGAGACCTGATAACAGCTTTCCAGTACCCAAAGGGGGCTTATGAGGAAGAAGTAGCCTTTTTGCCTGTAGTTACAGGACAAGGTGCAATGGCTTTAATTAGAAATAGGGTAGATTTAGATTGGAAATAGGGAGGCTGGTGAGGCACTGGTCCATGTGTACCAGAAAAGTTGTGGGTTTCCCATCACTTGAAGGGTTCAAAGTTGGATTGGATGGGGATTTGGTGCTCCAGTGAAAGATGTCTGTGTCTATGCAAGAGAGATTGGACGGTATCCCTTTGGCCCCAAATGATTCTTTATCTTTGGATAAGCACCCTACATGTCACCACCTTCCCATCTCTCCATGGTTTTCAAGCAAGACCCATACCCCAAATGCACCCCTTATTTCCACCCTCTATCCTGTGAGCTGGAGCAGGGAGCCCAGCCTACCCATTGGGTCCTACCTTCATACGTGTATGCTGGTTTGTTCAGGGGGTCTGAGAGGAAGCAGGAACAGAAGAGGGAGACGAGAGGCAGCTCCTTCATCTTCTCTTTGTAAGCTGGGGAGAGATGGTGGGAGTGGGGTCAGGATGTGGGAGCCTTGCCATTTGCCTGTGATGGGGGTGGTGGCTGGGATTGGAGTTTGCCCAGATGTTGCCAACAGGCTGATACAGGAGGGATAAACAAGGCATGTAAATGCATCGTGCAATGGGGAAACCAAGGCACTCAGTGATGGGATTCTTTTCTCAACACAGGAAGCATCCGTCCTGGTGCTTTAACCACGCATGTGACCCCTTGCCTGGCACTTCTGGGATGCCATTATCACCCCAGGGCAGGAATTAATCCAGGGCAGGATCATTTCTGGGTGGTCTGCATGAGGCCCTGCTCAGATGAGGGGCTCAGGGGATGCTCCAAAATGGAGTGGATGTCTGGATTGGGTACACAGAGCCACGTTGTCCCTTGTTCCCACACATGGCCCCACGACATACCGGCTAGAGTCATGGCTTGGCAATCCTTGAGTGTCTGCAGCAGCAACAATTCTGGGGCCTGGAGATGGAAAGAGGCAGGATCAGTGCGAGGGATCCAGAGCTGGGGAACATCACCCTTCCCTGTCCTCTCACCCTGGGACAGCTGCACACTGATACCGCAGCGCATGTACAGCCTGGGTTCTGGGGTGGGCACGTACTGGTGAGATCAAATGGGCACGTACTGGTGAGATGAGGTGGGTACATCGTGGTAAGATAGGATTGGTGTATGCTGGAGAGGTGGGATTAGCACACCCTGATAAGGTGGGATGCGCACATCTTGGTGAGATTGGATGGACATATGGTGATGGGATGGGATGAGCACACACTGGTGAGGTGGGATGGGCAGCTCCGTATGAGATGGGACTGGAACATACTGGTAAGGTGGACTGAGCACGCATTGGTGAGATGGGATGGGCACATCCTGGTGAGACGGGGTAGGGACACACTGGTCAGATATGCTGGACACCCAGTGGTGGAGTGGTATGAACTGAGGAACACTCAAATGATGGACACACACAGGTTTGCTGTGATGGTCTCATGCTGTTGGAATGGGTATCTGCTGGTGTGATGTGGCGTGTGAACACCAGCATAGTAAGCACAGGGGCTGTGATGTGATGGACACACACTGATGGCAGCAGCCAGCACAGTGCTTTGAGCATGCATAGTTCTTCCCTGCTCCACACTGCCCCATATTTGCACAACCACACGTGTGCCTATGCGTGACTGTGCCGTGACCAGCGTGCACCCACCCACCCACAGCCCATCACAAACAAGTGCAACCCTTATGCACAGCCTCTGCTGGTGCACGAGCTGGGGCTGTGCCATACCCCACGCCCTTATGCATCCTTCTACAAAATGGGAGCTCATATCTATGCATTTCCAGCAACCTCCCTGCAGACGCCCTGATCCTTCTCATCCTGTATTACCCCAGAAAGTCTCGACCCCTCCCCTCCCACTGGGATCCTACACAATACTCTCTTTAAATTTTGTTATCAACCTGAATGCTGCTTGGCAATGCTGCTGGGGGGGAAGAACTGGAATGGTGTGGTGACAGCCTGCAGGAACACATTGACTGCAGATGATCCCCTCTTTCTGGTGACCCTTGGAGCCAGGACTGCTCCGATGTGGGGTTACCCACAGGTGTGTAACCCTTCTGAGAGCTTTCCCCATTGCCTTCCCATAGAGTTTGGCTTTGAGCAGCTGCTGCCCAGCACGGTGCCAAGGTGGGGCAGGGATGCTCTGATGTGCTCACACAAGGCTGTGCCTGGAAATATGACAGCCTGGAGGAGAGAATTTGCCATGCTCCTGCCTACAAGCCTCCCATTTTTCCCCCAAGTCTTCATTTTGCCTGGGCTTTTATTGGGAACACGGTTGCATTTGGGCTCTAGAAATCCATTTTCTAGACCTGAATTTTATCTTCCAGATAAAATTCAGCCATTGCCTATCAGATCCCAGGGAGGAGGCTGAGGTCCATCCCTGTGCATGATGCCAGCTGGATCAAGCAGCCATTGGGGCACTCAGAGGATTCCCCCATTCCCAGAGGAGCTGGGTGTGGCTGGAGCCCTGCAGCAGGTCACCTCTGCCAGCTTCCTGCCATTATCAATAATTCAGTTACTATTGCCCTCTGGATGCCTCTGGGCACATCTGGGCACAGCTGGGGGCTGCAGGGTGGGGGTGAAGCTGGGTGGATGCTGCAGAGCCCCATCCAGGCATGACTGTGCCGGGGGAGCGGGGAGCATGGGAAAAGCCTTGGGATTAAAAGGAAAAAAAGGGTGTGGGGCAGGGGGGTTCCAGGCTGTAAGGACTGGGGGGGGGGGCTGCTTCTTGCTGTGTGGCTGGAGGGGGTTTGCCTCACTGGGGATGCTGAGCCTGCTGAGGTGAGGGTGCAAGTGTGGAAATGATCAACCCCCCCTCTTCCACGACCCCTCCCCAAACTTTTCAAGGCATTTATTTCCAGAAACTAACCCCTCAATACACCCATCCAAAGCTATACATCTATCCAGAGCAACATTTGTCCAAAGCAGTACATCCGACGTCCAACCCCCATCCATCCATCCATCCATCCATCCATCCATCCATCCATCCATCCATCCATCCA